TTTATGTTATATAAATTAATTTACACAGAATGAGTTAAAAATAAAAATATTTTTTTTAAATCCCAAAAATTTTTTAAAAAATGTCTAAACTGAAAATGGGCATCATAACTCCAAAAATAATGATGGAAACTTCAATTTTTTGTTTTATGTTTATATAGTTTACACAAAATGAGTAAAAAAAAAAGAATATATTTTAAAATCCCAAAAATCTAAAAAAATAACTAAAATGAGAATAGACATCATAACTCCGAAAATAATGATGGAAACTTCAAATTTTTTTATTTAATGATTATATAAGTTGGTTTACACAAAATGAGTCAAAAAAAATAAAATATTTTTAAAATCTCAAAAATCTAAAAAAAAGGAATAAACTTAGAATGGTCATCATAACTAAAAAAATAATGATGGAAACCTTAAATATTATTTACTAAGTTAGTTTAAACAAAATGAGTTAAAAAATTAAATATTTTTTAAATCCCAAAAATCTAAAAAAAATGACTAAACTGAGAATGGACATCAGTGGCGGGCTTGAGCCCCCTGAAAAATTTGAATAGCCCCTGAAGCAAAAAAAATTTTTAAATGGAATCTTAACCCCTTGAACTAAAAATAATTTTTTTTGATTGCACCCTGAACGATTTCTATAATTTCTATTAAGTAATATATAGATTTAATTTTATTATTTAAAAAGTAATAAGTCAGTCTATATTTTTATTAAATGAATACTATTTTAAATATTAGATTAGATTAATACACATAAAATATATTTCACTATGTCAGCTTGCAATCAAATTATCAATATACTCACTAAATATTAATTTAGCATTAACAGTTAAAGCTTAATTGACTATTATTATTTATAACCCTAACTAAATAAATATAATCATTTATGAATTGAAAACTAACAAATTTAATATTGTAATTAGCAGAGTTCAAATTGACTAATCAACTGTATATTTATTTTTAAATTTTATTATCATACCTATTCCTAAAAATATTTTGAAGGTCCAAATAAATATAAAAGATTTCTTTATAAAAAGTAAGTAAATAATCATATAGTTTATACTCCTCTATTATATACAGTTGGTTATAAAATATTAGATAAAATGCCACTTTTATAGAAGTATTTGACGGTTATATAATATATTATAGTTAATATTATAATAATTTTACTAATAAATGCTTTTGATAATAAATATTGTAACAGTTTGCATGTATTTAATGCCATCTATTTAGTTAAAAATAATTTAAAAATTAAACATTTTATTATTCATCCTACAATGGATGTAATAAATTAAATATCTTTTTTTCTCATTTTTACGCCTTTTTGGAAAAGTTATTTTTTTTCTTCTTTGAACAGTTTAAATTTTTAATACGAGTATATTTTTGATATTATTACAAACTACTATTATTTTAAGATATAATATACCAATTAAAGGTGGTGCGACAATAATATATAGAATCTTAATTGTTTCATCATATCATTAAGATCTTATTTTATAGGTATAAAATGTTTCATTTCTAATATGGCATCCTTGCCGTGTAAATATCTCCAGGTTTCAACATATTTGCATAATTATTTCTTCTAAAGATTTTTAGTATTTTTATTTTATCAATTTAACCAACATAATAAATTCTGATATTAGTTTACAACGTAAGTGTCATGGCTATGACTAAAAATTGACCAGCATCTATTATTTGTGTTTATGTAATTTAATATTGTTACTACAGCTGCTGAAAGCATATGATTACAAATTTTAGATAAACAATAATAGTAAACTGTGTAGTCGTTTATATATCATTAAAAATGGAAGATAATCTTTTAGAAATTTAATATCTCACAATAATTCGATCACTTATCTAGCTTCCATCATGTCATCTAAGAGGAAGCTCTAACCACCATATAGTTTTATGATTTGAATTGGTCGTTTATGCTCTCTTCTTCAATAATTGTTGATTTGGTTTAGGCCTATAAATTTTTCCTTATAGGTCCATGCTATAAAACATTGTCTAAAATGGCTACAGAAGTTATATTAGTTTGAGTTTCATAACCTTTTGTCAATGTAAGTTGCTAAGAATTATATTATTGCATTATGTGGTTTTTAAAAACTATTATCAATTGAGGTATATGTATGTATATAACCTTTTTTATCACTGGTAATTCTTTAGACCCAAATTTATTTATATCAGCAATCGAAAATATTTTATACTGAAATAAATAGATTTTGTATTAAAAAATATTATTCTTAGAAATGTCTTGTATTGTTTTAATTATTTATATGCAAGTTTATTTTGTATGCATATAATAATAAATGATAAAATATGAAATTTAGAATAATTGTGCAGAGTTAACAAATTTTAAAAATGTACAATATAGGAATATAAAACAAATTGGGGGGCATGGGGGGTGAAGACCCTAATAATTTTTTATTTTAGCCCCCTGAAATTGTAAAGGCTAGCGATGCCCCTGATGGACATCATCCAAAAATAATGATGAAACTTCAAATTTTTTTTATTTTATGATTATATAAATTAGTTTGCACAAAATTAGTCAAAAAAGTATTATCTATTATAATAATCCTAAAAACCGTCAATCAAATTTAGCCAATAGTGTTCTTTTAAAATATTATTGTCCAATAAAAATGATAGCATAATCGGTCCAATAGTAATCACCTTACAAACTAAACATTCATTCAGTCAGTTCTATTTATAAATAATATGGAAACTCTGAAAATATAATTATGATACTCAAATATATACCCAGATTTAAGAATAAACTTGATGGAAGATCATAGGCGTAGCCAGGGGGGAGGGGGACAAGGGGAACTTCCCCCCCTTCAGAAATTTATTACTTTTTGTAAATCACATTTTTAGCTAATAAAAAATATCCGCCTTAGTCCTCCCCTCACTCCCTGGCCCTCAAATATGTATGCATATATCTTAAATAATAATTTAAAAGAAAGAATGTAAAAGTTGATATTTTTTTATAAAACTATTCATCATAATTTATAGATTTTTGGGAAAATAAATTTATAAATATATAAAATGAACCAAAAATGTTTTTTAATAAATGGAATATAAGCCAAAGATAAGTCTTAAGACAGAAGTGAAATGTATTATAATTATTAATAATAGAATATAATATATCAAATATAATTTTTTATAAAGTGAGTAATTTTAATTTATTAATCTTAATAAAAGTAAAATATAATTTTAAACTATTGTTAAAATCAAATCATAAATTAAAAAAATATTAAAGCATAATACAAACAGCGGAATATTATATGTCGTAGATTTACAGTATATCTAATTATCAAATGACAATCAAGTAATTTTAACCAATATAGCGAATAATATATTTTACAGTAAACTATAAAATATTGATAAGGACATCAGAAAATATCTTTTGAAGACATTGTGGGATGAATAATATGAATTAAATTAAAATATCATTTTTACTTAAAATAAATAGATGGCGTTAAATAATTGAATGCAAATTGTTGCTATATTTAATATGAAGAGCATTGATTAGTAAAATATGTTAAATTATTAACTGTAATATATTCTCTAACTGTCAAATATGTCTGTAAAAGTGGAATTTTACCTAGTATTTTATAACTAATTCTATATAATAGAATAAAATCAACTATATGTCTACTTACTTTTTATAAATAAATTACTTATAATTGTTTGGAATAAATTATTACCATGCTTTTATATTAAGGTATATACAATACAAGTAATTTATTATATTTTTATTTTATATAAACTAATAAAAATATATTTCATATTTGTTACAGGCTTATTTATGTGGAAGATTTTATGACTCAACTGTTAATATTTAATATAAAAATTTAAGGTATATCATTGCATTTAATAAAACTCAATTAAGTGGCTTCCATCACCCAAAAGGGGGCATATCCAGTGCAGTAAATTTTCATCTACTGTTTGGCGGTAAAATTTACACTACTGCCAGGGCCCATTTAATTAAAGAAGGATGATGGTAACTGATCCACTAATTGACAGTAATTTACCCAGCTGTCAGGGCCCGACAATAATTTACATTGGTAAAAATTGAAAAATAAGAAAATATATTATTAATAAATAGTCTGCTTATCTTTTTAGAGTATTTGTTTCAATAGATTAGTGAAGAGTTCGGCCTGATCAAAAAACCAAGGCCCATGAAAATCTGATTTTGATTGTATTTTTAAATTCATTATGATTATTTAAATATTTTGTTTTTCAGTTCTCAATACCAAAATTATTATGATCTTTCATTTGGCTTGGAAGAATTTTTCAAAATTATTATGGCTTTGTACTTTGCCTGGGAATTTTTAATATTAAATATTAGGTATAAGTGATCAGTAATATTTAATAAATAATATTGGTATTATCAAGTAAAAGCCTTAAAATTTTTACTCAAACCATAGTATTTATATTTAGCTTTAATGGATTGAACCTGGCCTAAAGGGGGGGGGGTAGGGGTAAAAAGAATAAAAATTGGATATTATTTTGTAACAACTAGCATAAAAGTAATAAGAAAATTCTCATTCCTCGTCATTTTTGACGGGCTATCTACTAGTATTTTATAAATCCCAAAAATCTAAAAAAAATTGACTAAACTGTGAATGGACATCATAACTCCAAAAATAATGATGGAAACTTCAAATTTCTTTTATTTTATGTTTATATAAGTCTGTACCAAATTAATTAATCCAGAGCAAAGAATTATGCTCCTATAATTCATATTATTTTAAATTAAAACCTAAATTTATAATCTATTACGCCATCAACGGAAATTTCTATATGTTTTAAAAAGTTTATTATGGGTATCTGTTCTATACATATTATAAATTTATGGACTACATTTTTCCATATTCTATTTTGTTAATTTGGATAATTATAATTTTGGATATATTTGATTTATACAATAAAAATATTATATTTTTATTTTTAAAATATAAATGATAGGCTATAAAATATAAATTTTACCTGTTAATTCTCAGTTTTTCTGTCCATTCTCACTTTACCTGTCAATTCTCAGTTTGGTTACACCTTTAAAATGGTAAAAGATATTAAAACATATTTTTTAAATATTATGTTTAGGCATCAAAAGTAATAAATTCTGACCATAGAAAAAAAGAAACAGTTTTAAACTTGCAAAAATATATGGAAAAGGCAATACGTGTTAAATTTAACGGTGGTCGAGAAGGTAGTTAAACGTGCTATTTTACATCCTTATACCTTTTTAGTCTCTGGTATATTGAAAGGATATGATGCTTTATTAAATATTGTATTAGATGGTACTACTGAATATTTAAGAGGTATTTTGTTATATTTTATATATTTCTAGACCAAGTAAAATAGATCCTGACGATCCTTTAAAAATAACTGAAGACACTCGTCCTTTAGGTCTAGTAGTTTGTAGAGGAACCACAGTTGTTTTAATATGTCCTGTAGATGGCATGGAAGAAATTCCTAATCCCTTTATACATCAATCTTAACCACCTTTAATTGAATATTTATGTTGTAGAATTGTTTTCTAAAAAATATTGTTAATATTATATATTAGTATAAAAATATTTAATCCAATAAATAATTAAAGCTATTTTAATACATTTTTAACAAAAGCAATCAGATATTTATTGGGAAATATTGGGATCGATATATTATATTTCTTTGGTAATAGTTGTCTTAGTATTAAATTTGTTTAGGTTTATAGGTCTTGTAATATACAAATCTATAAAAATATGATTCTGAAGTTTATTCCCTTGGGAAAATAAATTAGATGATTTTAATAAATTAAAATCATAATTTCTGAAATCAAGACATTTTATTACAGTTTATTTTACTACATAATGCATATAAATTTTTATTGCTAAACTTTATACAAAATTCATAAAAGTATAAAAATTATTTTAATATATCTTAATTTTAAATTATCAAACATTGAAAGAAGTTTTACAACAGAAATATAATTTAAATGCTTTTTATTATGGGTTGGGAATTTTACAAGATTTTGGGTAAGTCACAGAAAGCCTCATTTTCAGAGGCTAGCCCATTTGACTGGGTTGTCTTAAGGTGTATAAGATATATTTTTTATTATATGCTTCACAAAACTTGACCATAATGATGGGTTTATTTAACTTATATTGCAATTATTAATAAAAAAGGAATTTTTTTTTACAAAATATCAAGTCTTTTAAGTTGTAAAAATATTCAGCTCAAAAATTTATGATATGAATAAATTTATTACAACCACAAGCTCGGGGGGGGGGGGGCTATTAGATGAATTATGAATTTTATTAGAGATCTTTAGGTACTCTTATTATAGGGTCTTTGGCTATATTAGATTTTTATGAAAATAATTGGGTTTTCACTTTAAAAAATTAAATTTGTTATTTTTAAAATTTTGAATTATAGTTGTTATTTTAAAAAGTTATTAACTTTTGCTAATTTTCATTTCAAATTCTCCCTTATAATATATTGTATGCATTTTTTGGCTAGAGTGGGTGTAGGGAGGAAATTTTATCAGCATAAAATGATAATGATATTTACAAGAATAGGGAAATATGTAATTGAGGGTGAACTACCCCCCCCCCTATTGGTTATGTGTAGGCCTACAAAAAAACGATCGTATTCGATTCAAAAATTCGAACCAAATAATTGCGCTACTCGTATTCGTACGAATAATAAAATCATTATTCAATTCGAAAATTTTTCTAAAGCTTATAAAATATTTTGCAAAAAAAATTTTACAGATGTTTAAAGATGATACTTTTAAGGATTCTCTAAACTAATTGTCATTACAATATAAAAATTTATAGAAAATAAACGAAATAAAACCCAATGATTTCATATAACGTTAACCAAACAAATTGACCAAAATATCCGATTTTTAGAATTAGAATTGCTTATAAAAAAATATTTAAACTATTTCTTCAATCTAATATTCAAATTTTATTAAAATTTTCTAAAAATGTACAATAATCTCATTTTCTAAAAATATAAAATAATACACAAAAATATAAAATTATAGTAAATCCGAATTTGATAATATCCAATTTTTTAAGCATAAAGTCTTTCTAATAGTTTCCTCCTACAAAGACATTTTATTTTTCATTATCATATTTGTTCCTATTGAGAACAACCGCTCACATGAAGCCGAAGATCCCTGAATTGATAGTATATCAGTTGCCATTTTCGACAACACAGGAAAACGATCCCCATGCAATCTCCACCATTCTAAGGGACTCTTATTTGAACTGATTCTTATTTCGTTAAGATATGTCTCCACCTCACATACTGCTGTAATGTTATTAAGTTTAAAAATTCTATCCATGTTCGACTGTACTATTGGGTTAACTGATGTTGATTTGATATTATATTTTATTTTATAATCATTATATACATCTTTAAATTTTTCTAATAGATTTGTCGTGTCTATGTTATATGTAGTTGGTAGTTGCTCAAAAAATTCCATTTTTAGTCTAGGATCCAGTATTGTTGATATTATAGTGTGAATATTTGTTAAGTTATAATAAGTTTCTATTTTCTCAATCGCACTGATAGAGTTTATAAAATCGAGATCAAATTAATTTAAATGTTCGATTAAAGAAACATAGAAAGGGATGACAAGATTTAGGGTAGGATAAAAGTCTAATTTGTTTTGTATGTTTATTAAAGTAGTCGAATCATCCTGATAAAAAATAATAATTAGTAAATAAAATTAAATTACTTCGCTCAGTTTTCTTTCTTCGATATCAGATATATCATCATATATCTGAGTCACAACTTCATCAATAGCCCTTCTCATTTGAATAGCTCTATTAAATAAGAGCTATTCCATCTGATGGATGTGTCTAATTTTAATTTTAAATATTTCATAGGGGGAAGTAGGGAGGAGCACACATTTTGCATAATATTTGTCTTTGTAAAAGAATTTCAAATAATCTTTATGATTTTTCTTAATTTTGATACTTTCCTGTCTACTTTCTTAAGTATTTCCTGTACTACTAAATTGAGTACATGTGCAAAACATCGCACATGTAAAATTTCACAATTTGGGTGTTTTATATGAAGAATTTTTATGAAAGTAGAATTAGAGCTAGCATTATCGCAAGTAATTGCTATCTTACTTATGTCGATATTATAATTTTTTATAATTTGAGAAAACTCTCTATAAATATTTTCACAAGAATGCGAATCAGTAAATGGAACTATATCCAATAACAATTATTTCATCTCCCATTTTTCATCAATAAAGTGGTAGGTCAACCCTAAAAATGATACATTAGTAGGGCTTGACCATATATCAGTTGTAAAGTTAATTTGGCATTTTAAATTATTTATAATTATTTTAACTTTATTGAATTCTTTATTAAAAATTTCATTCATATATAGTTTAATTGACGGTATTGAGCATATTTCTATATCAGGATTTTAAGATCTAACGAAGGACTTGAATTCCTGAGTGGCGAGAATTTTAAAAGGTATATTTGACTTTAGCAAAAATTTTAATAAATAATGCTTAACATCATCAGCATTTGTTTTGGGTATATCATTTAAATAGTTTCTAATAGTATTATTTTGTTTTTGATGAAATCTTTTGTTATGATTAATTAGTGTTGACGTAGTTTTTTTCTTGCACATTATCTCCACATTGCATATTTTACATTTAGCTGTTTCTTTTTTAGCATCATGGAGATAATGATTCCATAATAAAGAATTTTTCCGCCTAGCATTAAAAGGTTCAGTTTGATCAGAGATTGATGTAGATCTTGAACTATTTGAGGATTGACTATGTCCTTAACCACATCTTCTTCCATCAAGATTTTCTAATTGATCTTTGAATTTATTTTAACATTATATCATATAAAATCCAAGTTTACCATCCTTCCTGAAATTCCAGATTAATGACACAAAGAAAAAAACAGTAAATTAATTAAACAGTGGCATAGGAATGGGGGGGGGGTCTTTTTTTAAAAAATAAAATTATTTTAATTTACTATTTTTATTCCTATTATGAATTAGCAAAACCTTAGAGAAAATTAGACCTTTCTTTATAAATTCAAATCAAAAATAGCATTTTAAAGAATATTTATTTTTGTAAAATAAATTCTTAGTTATAACATTTATATAATTTTTGTTTTAATTCTTAAAATTTATGGAAATACTATTTTAATCAAAGTACAGTGTATTATTTATATATTTTTTAAATAGTTTTTTATAATAAAAATTTTAAAATAATATATATAAAATATCTACATTTTAAAATTTATTTTAAATATTTGCATAATATATAACAAATTTTAGAGAGTATTTCATTATAGATTTTATTTATTATATAAAAATACTTTAGTAGTAATAATTTCCTTTATTTATTCATGTATTTATTTTTATTATTAATATCATTTTATTAGAGGTGAAGGTGATTATGACAAAATAAAATTTTTAAAATTATAATCTATATAAAATATCTACATTTTAAAATTTATTTTAAATATTTACATATAAAATATAACAAAATTTTAGAAAATATTTCATTATAGATTTTATTTATTAAAAATACTTTAGTAGCATAAATTTCCTTTATTTAATAATATTTATTTTTATTATTAATATCATTTTATTAGAGGTGAAGGTGATTATGACAAAATCAAATTTTTAAAATTATAATCTATTTAAAATATCTACATTTTAAATATTTCCATATAAAATATAACAAAATTTTAGAAAGTATTTCATTATAGATTTTATTTATTAAAAATACTTTAGTAGCATAAATTTCCTTTATTTAATCATGTATTTATTTTTATTATTAATATCATTTTATTAGTTAGAGGTGAAGGTGATTATGACAAAATAAAATTTTAAAAATTATAATCTATTTAAAATATCTACATTTTAAATATTTGCATATAAAATATAACAAAATTTTAGAAAGTATTTCATTATAGATTTTATTTAATATATAAAAATACTTTAGTAGCATAAATTTCCTTTATTTAATTATAATATAATTTTTAGAGGTGATTATGACAATGTAATAGAGGATGAAGATTTTATAATGCACAGGGGCCCCTACAACGGGGGGGTTCGAAGCAACTGCTTCAGTAAATTTAAATGGGGGTACTTTTTTTTACATCCATCATGATCATGTGATTTCTGGTTTATAAATGTAACAATAAGACCCCCCCCCCCCACTTGATATTTAATTTAATATATTGACTGAAATTTTGGTCGATGTTTAGTAAATTTTTTATCCGAAATTTCTTTTTTTTTTCCAATTTTAAAATATGCCTAAAAATATTAACCAATATTGACAATAGAAAAATTCCTAGAAATTGGATTACTTATAGTATTAAAATGTATAAAGTTTTTTGCTTAACATGTCTCTTATTTGGTGGTCCACACGCAAATTCAAAATGGACATGTGAAGGTCTAGATAAATGACAAAATATTAATCGTGATATTATTCTGCATGAATCTTCACAGGCACATATGATGGCCTATTGTGGAAGGCTTTCTCATAATAAAAATTCGATATTAAAATTTATAACACCTCAGAATGAATGTGTAGATAATAACC